CTCTGGAGCTAGATTTATACCTCGGTCCTTGGCTCCGCGCGAGAAAGAATTCACGCCGAAGCCTGGTTCGTGATCGAAGTGAGTTTTATGAAAGTTAGAAGAAGTTTCAGGTTTACACGGCACCCAAGGGGCTCCTCCCAGACACGCGGCCTAGCTGGAAGCAGCTCTGCGTCCCGCAACGCATGCCAAAGCTCTCTGCGCCTGAGTTCTCTCTCTTCCGTCTAGGTCCTTCTTCTCCTCTAAGTTCTTCTTCCGTCTCGGTTCTTGTCCTCGTCCTCCCTCCCCTCCAGGCTTCTGCCTTTTCAAGGATTCCACAGGGAGGCATGGTGGAAGACCCCTGGTCGACCCCATTGGCTGAATTGAATTCACCTGGCTAGGTGATCCAATTCAAGTTCACGCCCACCCCTGCCTACCGGCGGGAACCCTGAACATGTGCGGGGTGCCACTCCTTTGTTTCCCTAGCTTGACCCTCTGGGCACGCGTTAGTGGACATCCCCCAGTCCTATGCTGGCCTACCTAACAGATCTATAAGACTTTCCACCCACTGGCCTGTGGTCTTCCTGCATCATGGCATGGGTGCATGAGTCTAAAGAGGAATTTCTGGGCTAGTCTAAAAAGGAATGATTGGACACATAGGATGATATTGGACTTATGGACTTGATCTGGACGGGGCTGGGATGTTTTCTTAATCTGCAATTACTCTTTGAGATAAAGCTCTTTCTTACACACATATATGAGCCTCCCTGGATTTGTTTCTCTAGGGCACCCGGACTAACCGAGCCTCTGTAATCAAATACATCCGCTCTCCGTTGGACTTCTTTTGCCATCATTAAGCTTTCACATTCATATGAGGGAATTGAAAAGAGGCTGGCTTGGTGGCTGTACCTCAGTCCTCAATGTGGTGCCTCTGATCTTTGACAGGGCTGTGGCACAGTGGGCTGCTAACCACAAGGTCAGCAGTTCGAAACCACCAGCCATTTCTTGACCGAAAGACCAGGGCTATCTACTCCAGTCAACAGTAAGTCTCAAACTCAGAAGGGGCAGGCTGACCCTGGCCTACAGGGTCACGATGAGTGGGCCTCGACTCGATGACAGCGATTTTGGGTGCAGTTGGTTGGCGCAATGCAATACATCATTTGCTTCCTTACCTGCTGCTTCCAGGAGTGTGGAAGGTGGATCCAAGTACCATGAAATCCTGTAACGTTTTCAAGATTGGTCCATGCCATAATATGTGTCAGAGCGTCATCCCTCCTTCCGGCTGAAGAAGTTTCCATTGTGCACGGAAACCACATTGTCAGTGTCCATCCAACTGCTGATGCACACTTAGGTTGTTTCCATTTTTTGGGGGGTGGGATGGTGGTAGTATTGTCTCTTATGCTGCAATGACCATCCAGGGACCAGTCTCAGGATCCCAGCTTCCAATTTGTTGTAGGTGTCAAAGGGTGGAATTACTGGGTGATGGAGCAGAAGCCCCGGTGGCGTAGTGGTTATGAGTTGGGCTGTATTTGTGGGCTGGTCAGCAGTTCAAAACCACCAGCCTGCTCCACGGGAGAAAGAGGATGCTTTCTACTCCTGGGAAGCGTTACAGTCTAGGAAACCCACAGGGGCAGTTCTCCCCTGTCTGATAAGGTTGTTGTGATTCAGAATTGAATTTATTCCGTTTTCCTTCTTCTTTTT